CCCCCCAACCACCGTACGTGTCCACGATGACTTTCCTGCCCGTCACTCCTGCATCACCCTGAGAGAAATCACAAAGATTTATATCCACACAGCACACAAGCAAGCAAGATCTTCACTACATTATTTGTTTTTACACTTTGAAACTATGAAATTAGATTTGAACCCCATCATACTCGAGCTGTGCACTAAAAGCCACTGCCAGCATCCTCATGCAGCGCGACATCAACCTAAACAGTATTCGGGGACCTCGAATGTTCTCGGCTCTTTACCTGCGGCCCTCCAATCACAAAGCGTCCGCTGGGCTGCAGGTGATAGACGGTGTCCTCGTCCAGGTAGCGTGAAGGCACCACGGCTTTGATGACCTTTTCCTTCAGCACCTTCTTCTGTTCCTCCACACACACGTTATCATCGTGCTGCACGGAGATCACCACAGTGTGCACTCTTTTGGGGATCACAGCGCCATTTTCCTGGGCGTAATGAACCGTTACCTACGGAAAGGTGAACATATGTTAATGTTATTGTAGCAAAACAATATGCATTTCCACTTTTAGTCCTTTTACTTTGATTTAACGAGACTCGGGCGTGTCACACGAGGGAGCTACTTCTACTGAATCTACTTCACAAATAACACTGTTAAAGCAGAGCCCAACAAACCTGACATGAGGAGCTGAATGAAGGCTGCTGGACCTCATTTGTGGGGATTCATGGAAGCATGTTCAGCTTTCTTCTCCACAACAAACATGCCATTAAGTATGCCACCCTGGCTGCCTCACACTGCAGGTTCAGGCATGTCCACCCTGTTTTCTACTCTGACCTCACCTGTGTCTTTGAGTCTGGGCGGAGCCAGGGGACCGTTCCATTTCGTCTCAGCTCGGCCAGCTTAGCGTTGAGTTTGTGGGCGAGGACTATGGTGAGGGGCATGCACTCCTCTGTCTCATCTGTGGCGTATCCAAACATCAGACCCTGCCCACGCAGCACGAGTACAGTCAAAGAGCAACACTTTATATTCTGAAGAAGAAAAAACTGGTGTTTCAGTCCAGAATTTAAATGTAAGCGCTCAGATGACCTGGTCTCCAGCTCCGATTTCGCTCTCCATGCGATCGATATGAACTCCCTGAGCGATGTCAGGTGACTGCTGCTCCAGGGCTACCAGCACGTTACAGGTCTTATAGTCAAATCCTTGGAAAAACAGAGGAAAAAGAAGAAAAGGGATGTTTTCGTTTGAAAGCATTGCTCCTCCCTGGAATCCCAGTGTAGATGAAGTTACAGCCAAAACGTTAAAAACTTCACTCACCTTTCTGCGAGTCATCGTAACCAATATGCTGGATGAC